TGAATATTTCTGTTATCTAACTGAACATATGGTGCTATCAACGCTTAAAATGAATTGGCCTACGGATCAATGAAACTTTTGAGAACCTTCACAGGTTTTTAATCTGTGTAACTGATGACGACCTACGAGTTGAAACTTTGTCATTCTGAATGAATACTTATGCGAAAAATTTGGATATGTTGTGAAAAATTCTTGTTAATAACTTCGAGTCACGTAGGAATTTCAAATCTTCAGCATCACTGTTAACTGTCACATGATGAGGACATACGTGCACTTCAGATAGACCTAAACAGCTAGTTTACCTGGTCAAAGAATTGCCTGATGCGTATCAACGCAGGTAAATATGTGAGCATGGACATAGGGTACACAGATGGTAACGCCTACCATATTGGTGGGACTCCTCTACCCTCAGTACTGATCCACAACGACCTAGGAGTCACAGTGAGCTATGGTTTGAAGACCACGGCACATTGACGATTGGTTGCAGCTCAGAGTTTTAGGAAACATTGTGCATTATGCAGAACGTCTAAAAAGTAAGTGCTGATTTATTCCCCATCTTATACACATCCTTAGTTAGGCCTTAACTAGAAAACTGTACACAAGCGATAAATCCTTGTCTGAAAGGTGACTCAGACGTTTTGGAAACAGTTCAGAAAGCAGGCGCTCGTATGATTCCTGCAATCGTTGGCCTGACCTATGAAGATTGACTTTAGGAGCTGAACCCTTTCTCTTTATCCTATCGCAGACAGAGGGGAGGTCTAATCATGCTATACAGGATTCTAAGAAATGACTTCGAACCTGATCTATCTTTCCCTCCCAGTATGTCGGAACATCTCAGAGGACATAGTAGGAGAATACAGAAGCAAAGAACGGACGTAGCCACCGTAGAGTACTGGTTCTCGTATCGAGTAACCAACTCCCAGAAGAAGTGGTGTCCGGATCATCATTTGACTCGTTCAAAAGGGGATTCGATAAGTACAGAAATGTACCGGAAAAGTATCAATATAGGTTCACAGTTTTCTGTCTTCAAACAACAAATCTGAATCTGATGATCATTTAGCTTATCAAATCTATACTTTGTTTCTCAGTTTTCAATGCACTAATCAAACAGGATAACAACTCGATGAACTGCAAACAGAACACATAGCCTATCCAACTTAGTACGAGTAACTTTAAAGGCCACTTTAACAACTACTGAGGTAGTCAGTTAAGTTCTATTCTGCGGAAAACTATCTTCCCAGCCAAATTTCCGAAATCCGATTGATTATTTTAGCGGTTACTAGGGTGCATCTGAAAAGCACTCTTTAGGACACGTTAACTATCATTATATGAATTCATTTAAATGAAGTAAGAAATTCTTTTGATATGACCAAACAACTCGTTTCAACTTCATTGAAACGGATACGGTTATATTCATCTTCTATAGTTGGAAGGAAAATAAGAGAAATTAACTGACTGAAGAAAATCTGAAAAACATAGGAAATAATAAACTATTAACGTTGAACATTACATTTTTCAATCTAAATCGCCACGATCATCATGCATACCAGAAGGTAAGTTCTCTGGCCCGCTTTGAAGATCATCAGTGGTGCACTCTAAGGAATTCAGCATACATAGCAGTCAGGCTATTCAGATCATTTAACTCTATCTAGCTGATCTGGATGAACCAGTATGTAAAAAACGGAATGGTCAGTAAGCAAACTGTTTAAAAACTGCACAATCCATGTTGTCAATGGTCCGAGCTGAACCGTCTGATAATCCAATTAATTCGAATACCAGTGCGAGTGGTTTCTAACTACTCCAGCTAAACTCAATAACACGTCTTATCAGCTGATGACACCTTTCCTTCAGAAGACATAATCTGTTATTTTGAATAAGGTTTCACACAGAGACCTTACTGATACCACATTTTGGTAACTGAATAACCAATCAGATCTGAAAAATATTAATGTATGCCCTCTAACCAGAACTATTTAAGGAATATCTCAAAGCTGAGGAGTTATCTTGATATGACTATGAACAGTAAATTTTATCTGAAACATAATCCAGCAAATAATACTGTTTCACTGTGAAACTTCTAACTAGTCAACTAAAATGGAATTGCATTATACCACAGTACCCAAGTTTTACTCTGATATTACAGAAATCCACATTTCTAGTGACACTTCATATTTCATCGTGTAGTTTATAACGTAATCTCCAAGGTCTTCAACAAACATCTTATTGATGGATAATGGCTAGCAGTGGAATCCAGAATGCGCGTCTCGTCCTATTCGGGGACTCTTCAGTTGGATGTGCCTGCTTCCCAATGGGCGATGTTGTTCCCAATAAGGCTCGAACTCGGGACGGATTGCTTTAAACGCCAAAGCGTTATCCACCAGACCACCGCATCATAACAGCCACTTCTTGTGCGATGAGTATAATTTTAATGTTTTTGCTTGTACAAACAATTTACTGTTTAATCATTGAAAACATTTAGATGACAACACTGACATTTGAAACGATATTCAATTTTGATGCTAAATAACAGTAGTAAATCACCAAGCAGCCTTAAACTATAATTTCGTTCCCATCGGGAATCATTAGTGGAATGTATGTACAACCATAGAAAAACTGGTGTTTGCTTGAAGTTATGAAACTGTGGCTCTCAGAAAGCACCAATCTTCTCAATATCACGAATAGACTTTGCCAATGATCATCCCTAAGCACATACAATGGTTGCAGAAATTCTTGTCGATTGACCTATTATATTCAACAGTAAATTACAGTGTACTGGGGGGTTATAATACTTAATTTAGTAGTGACAAGTTAAGTGTGATTGATAAACTATGAGCAGTGCTCAGCACTTAGGGTTTGATCGCAACATCAGTAAACCTCTGGTGACCAATTTATGTAAACAATAGATTCATTTGTTCATCGCAATAATGAATATTAGTGAAAAGCATTATTAGGTGAAACGATTGAAGAAACTTTCATCCCTGAAGCGTTATATCTCTAAGATATCTGTAATTCAAAAAGCTTCATTTACAATTTAAAACAACGCATTCATGCATTCCTTACCGTTGTAGACAAGGTGAATTTTTCGAATATCAACATTTAGAACCAGTTAATATTGAGCATAACTACTTATCTAGGATGAACACGGTAAATAACTTCAGTAGCCAATTCCAATATGTCACAAGAAGCAGTTCTTTCAATATAATCTTATATTTCATTTAAAGGTGTATTGAATACTTCAAGAACCGAAGTCTGACCACACTTAAAAATACTTGCTGACTCAACTAGTGTCATATAGGCGTCTCTTGTTTAGCACTGGATGATGAAACCCAACTGAATACAAGCCTATGAAACTAAGTGTGAAAATATGTCAGTCAACAATACAAAAATACCATGTACAAAGTTCATATTCATTAATCAAGGATACATTTAGTGGATTCAAAAAAAGTGCAAAATATTATTGAACATTGAACTGATAGAGAACATTTGAACTAAAGATTATAACTGAAGTTGCATCTATTTAGTTTAGTTTTATAGTTAGCAGAAAGATGAGTAGACTTTCTAGCACCTTTCAAAGAAAAATAGGAATATTGTTCAAGTGTTTTAAAACTTGGCATTAATTTGACAGAATCGTATGGATAAAATTGTAGTCACCATCTCCAGTATTACTTGAAAATCAACAGAGATAGTTAAGTTAACACAACTACTGATAGAAATCTAATCCAACTTTTTGATAAATCACTGGATACCTTTTCCTTACGTTTTTTAATTCCATAAATAATTATGTTCTAAACAGGTAATGTTTTCGTCTAGATCAATCATCATCGTACTTCGTATCTTGTGATTGACCAGCTGCGATGACTACAGTCGATAGAAGCGTATTGATTAGTTACTAGTTTCTTATTCCCAAAACAATAGTATATTGATTAATTTTTGGTTTTCTCCTTTGAAAGGAGGATCTATCATAAGTTTACATCTCCAGGTTAGTTAATTTCAACGTCTTTTGAAACCGTTCATATTAGTGTGAAAATGGAAATTTCTTCATTCCTTGTTGCTTTTTTTCGAATCACTCCAAGTGTACTAAATATCTCCAATCCTCTCAAATATCAACCAGCTGTGTTTAGCTTTTATATCATAGTTTTGTTTAACATATATATTTGAATTCAAAGTATGTCATCAAAGCAATTAATTAATGAAAAACTCAGGCCTCATGTGATTATTAAAGTTTGTCAATCACTGATTTATTGTTTTGTTAGCTTTGATATTTAGTTCTGGACATTTCATCTACAGACTTTGTGACATTGGAAACCACTAACTTCATAAAGAAGTGAGATGTAATCAAAGAATACATGAATGTTTAGGTGGTTTTTTTTTATTGACCCTGAATGTTGTCTAGTTGTAAGTTCGAGAATTGATTTTTGTTCTACCTTGAACTTTTCGACCTGAAATTACATTAGGTCACGTTGGACAAAATTATGCTATATGTTACTTACACTGTATTAGATTATTACTATTATTGTTAATTTATTTGGTCAATTTTCACATGGTTGATGTATGATTGTTTGCTTCCTGTGCAATCTGACTAATTTATGATGAGAATATAATTACACCATTTCATACACCTTAATCTCACGACATTTGAGGTAGAATCTACTCAGCACAGATATTTACGTCAACATGTAGAGTTCAAATGAACAGCTGTACTAACTAAGAAAATCAAATAATGCCAAAACCAGCACTTCAAGATCATATGTAATAGTATCACTCTCCCTTTTTCCATAATAACTCACTCATTGCTTGTTGTCTATATTCTAAAGAATGAAACCGTAAGATGTTTTGTTGTTTTTACCTACGCAACGCTTTTCGTATTCAAAACACAATCATTCATTTAATATTATAAACTGAGTAATAAATCATCAAAAACAGTCATAGTTCACTGAAAGGAGGTAATTTCATAAATATACATAAAATTTTAGACGTGTTATTTCTTAAAACGTTTTGCTTTACTGAACAGCATGTCCAATAAAAGGACGTCGAAATGGACGAGCCACGCCGCCAAATCGCAATTGTCCAGCCTCTTTTCGACCACCTAACCCACCACCAAGACGACGAGGTCTCCAACCTGACAAAGTTCCACCGAAATATGGTTCCAATATAACCTGAGGAAAAAGCCACCAACAAATATCTAAGGTTCGATTAACGAAACATGCACGTTAACTACACAAATGCTAACTAGAACGATTTAATAATCTCTAACGATTCGTATCAGTCAAACCTGTGGAATAAAGTCACGATATTCAAAATCATTTAACATGAAGATTGCCATCTACACAATTAGATCAGATCCTAATATTTAAGGCTTTGTAATTTAAATTAATCTAAAGTGTATTACATCTTAAGAGATTAAAGTATTCAGTATTGTTCATACCCCAGAAAATACTGTCGCCCCAAGAAGATATTGTGCAGCAGTTTAAACTAAGACGACTGCCAAGAACGCCAAGAAAAATAACAAATAATCGTTTAACCGCAAAAAGTACTTACTTTTTTTCAAAACCCTAATATACGGTCGTGTTTGAAATGATAAATACACGACGTGACAGCTGCACTTACTCAAAGTACAAAACTAGATGAGTTTGAGATTAGGTCTAAAGCAGTTATGAAATCCAACTATGATTTTCTTACGAAAGTGAGAAATTCATACCATCAATGGTCCAGAGAATTCGAGCACAGTATTACTGTTTGATACAAGTGCCTGAAGGTTATTGCAATAAATCATCAGCATGCGTCATGAAGATCAAGATGATAACAATAACAGATGGAAGATTAACTCCTTTGAAGTCAAGCTCATTTGTTCGCATACTCAAATAGCCAAACGGTTTAAGTGAGATCATTTTTAAACAGAAACTGAATAGCATTGATTTTCGAAAGGAAGAAAGAAATCTTAGATTTGCGGTCAATTTCACCTGCCTTATGTACTCTACATCGTGTAGTCAACTACTTTGACTTCAAATATGACTAAAACGTTTCAATGTATCTCCTTACTATTTGATCGTTGAATCTGATAAGGTCAAATCAGTGAAGTGGTCGTCATGAGTTTAGATTATCTCAGTCTGACTAATCAGTATTGCTTTTTGACCTGTGGGAATTCTAACTACTCACCGGACGAAGCTCAATGCATCATCAAATCAATATGATGTGAACATATCTCCTGAACTGGAAAGAGGAAATTTACACACAGTCATCTAGAGATAAGTTTGGAAGCATTTACAGGTGTGTCTCAAACTCGAAGACAAGATTTCTGTAATGAAACTAGTCAGTCACTTCTGACCACTGACTGTTTATTAGTTCATAAAAACAGTTGGAAATGACTTGAGTATTAAAGGGGACTGACGAAAAACTGAGATTGAGAGGCACGGACAAAAAAAAATGCTCTCCATTATGCATACTCTTAGCTTCATAATGAAAACTCTGTATTACACATGTGCTGAATTGGATTCATATTATTTCTCATCAAGGTGTATGTAATTTGTTCAGTGTACTAGTGTTGCAACACTTCAAATCAAATACAACTTTTCATAGTATCGACACACTAGTGGTAGCCTGCTCTGATGTGTGAACGTTGGATAAATTAGGTTCTGTAACGTGTTGTATGATTTAAACTAGATGGTGATAACCTGACTGACTTTTTTTTAGCTTTCTATGTGCTTCTGATTGTGGTATAGACGACCATTTCACGAACATAAATCTCGTTCGTTTGAATATAGCTATAGTAAAGGTCTTTCCACGCGATTACCAATAAAATCAATCAATAATGCATATCTAAGACAGTCTAAATTACAAAATAAAATGAAATAACCTTAAGTATACTATATATGGTATGACACTTGACAAACACAAATATATGCATACAAAAACATGTGATCTCCAGTAGCCCGAAAAGCTATATAATCCACACAATCAAGCGAATTCATTTTTTCCAGAAGATAATTTACTTGATGCGCTACAGCTGAACAACTATTTTGTGCTCCCTTCAGTTCTCATCATAATCAATCAATTACCTGTCAGATAGGTAGACATACATTAACATAAGATCCAGAAACACTGTACAATGGTCTTACTTGTCACACTTGTCGTTAGCATATCTCAGTATAAGGTAACATCAAGGATGACAAAGAAATGTAAAACAGATATAAGACAAAAATAAAGAGTGAAGCGAAAACTAAATACAATGTTATGATCGAGTTTAGAAGAAGACATGTAAATATCCACACTACTGTTATCGATTCTGAGTCGTGTCATATTAAATCTCCAACTATTGGCTTTATTTATGTTGCTGACTGCAAAGCCAGGCAGCTAAGATCGACTATAGGAAACTTAAATGAACTGGCGCCATGCATAAGTCTCCAGTATTTGATAAAAATTTCTTATCAATATGTTTGGCTTTAGATCTCAATAATTTAATTTTATGACAGTCTGTTATCATCACCTGAAATTTTTTTAAAGTACAGTGCAAAAATGCATAACACTGAAGGATAAAAGATAAAAGTAGTAAAGCATAAAGTTGGTTCTTTAGTAGTTGCCCACATTTTCAAGCATGAGGAAAAGAGGAAATTAACAAAATTTAAAAAATAAGAAGAAATATATATATGAAAGAAAAATAGTCAGTAAATGAGTCACTGAATTTATCGCTCCATAATTGATGTTGAAACAGGATCACTAAAGTTTCCATTACAGATTCTTAAGATTTCAAAAACCTCAGCCATTTAGTCTATCAGGGGTGGATAGATAATAAATGACTTCATATGTTAGTAGGATGTCCCTGCCTGATCGTGCTTTGTTTTCTCCAAGTGTAATTCTATTTTAGCCGTTACTGCCTATCAGGGTAAAAGATGACTTGGTAATGTATAGTGCATTTTTGAGTCACCTTAGTGGATGTAGACTTCACTTAAACACTAAACCTAGAACATTTTTTGAAAAAGCTAATCAATGAAATTCAAACCAACAGCATCAAGATGACATGTTGGCTAAGGTATTCGGAACCTGAGTGATTCTTGATGAGAAATGCAAACTATGAAGCGTTGCTCAATTAAGATGGAACCATAGAATGAACAACCTTAAGTTCAAGAGTATAACTATGAATGACAGAGTTAAATCAATATTCGTCAAGTAGATAAGTATGATATCAACACTAAATAGTCAGTCTGTTGGTTTCAGACTTAACTTCCGAAAGGTGTAATTAGACAATATCGCCCAACAGGATCACATTCTACGAGCTAAGAGTATATTTTATCAGTTGCATATACTGTTATTCTATCGGTATTCATAGACCACTACCATATTTTTAAAAGACGAAGTTTACTTGCTCATTAACTAACAAATTAAACGATTTGTCATGGTCCATCTCTTAGTGATACTGCTGTATCAAGTTTCTTTCTTTCAGTAGATAAAAAACCGCTTACTGGTCATGAGTAGTCAACGGGTGACGTAGAGAAAGAGCTATTCCATTTATCACTCGAGTCATTTCCAACTGTTTTTATGAACTAATAAACAGTCAGTGGTCAGAAGTGACTGGCTACTTTCATTACAGAAATCTTGTCTTCGAGTTTGAGACACACCTGTAAATGCTTCCAAACTTATCTCTAGACGACTGTGTGTAAATTTCCTTTTCCACTTCAGGAGATATGTTCACATCATATTGATTTGATGATGCATTGAGCTTCGTCTGGTCGCTTGATGTTATTGTGAGTAGTTAGAATCCCTGCAGCCCAGATGGCAACATTCGTTAGTTAAACATATCATCTAAACTCATGACGACCACTTCAATGATTTGACCTTATCAGCACTGTTTACGAACTAACTAATCTGCGGCAGTTAAATCTTTCAAATCGATCGAAATGTCATGACTGAATTCAACCTGGTTTGGAAATTCCTTTCTTTTTTCCACACGAACCACTTTATGAAGGTCTTACGCTTGGTAAACACATCATTTACCTTAACTAGTAATGCATACTACTGGTGAGCAGTATATCGGTAACATCCAGCGGCAATACAGAGTATAGATAGCTTACGTTCCAACAGCGAATTCTACTGATTCGCATGATAAACTCAGAACTGTTCAAGTCGATTAGATGCAATGAGCTGATCAAATTGAGCGCACTATCTTTTGCGGCAATTTGAAATGAGATGGCATTCACAAAGAGACTAAATAAATAAGTTGTATGTAACATCATATCACAAGATGAGAGCTATTTTTGTCGCAGATATTAGACGTTCACCTGAACTTCTAGATTACTTAGGTGAGCAGTTTTATTGTTGTCACATGATATTCACCCAGTTTTTTTTTAAAAACAGAAACTCCTTACAATTCTTTGCACTTATCACCTTGAAAAAACTAAGGACAATACATATGTAGTAGAAAAATAAGGGTGACTTTAAAGGCCATCCTGATAGCTGCTGAAATAACCAATCAGGTTTCCCTATTCCAGATAGAAAGGTACGTTTTTATAGAATAGAAGAGTTTAATAGGGTGTCTCAAAATTTACTGAGGTGGTCTTTAAAGTCACTCAACAATAATAATATGAAACTGACTTCTATTTTGCAAATTTTCAGTGACTTACAACCTAAAAAATGTCCGAATATATAATTCACTTTTATAAACTTGACAGGAATTTCTTATTTCAAATACGCTGAGATTTGTCCACATATAACTTATAACTAATGTCAACCTTTTACTCAGTGCCCAATGTTTATGAAACTATTCGATCAAATTTTAACCAGAAGACATACAAGTGAACAAGAAATTGCTGATGGGAATAAAAGGTAAGATATGGATTCAGAATAATTCCAACCAATTAAAGTTGCAGAAACAGGAAGAAATCTTATCAGAATGGACTATTTACTAGGCTATAAAGTGTACGTTCTTCAAAGGAATTAAGAAGTAAATAAGAATAAGAGTATAATAGAAAACGGAAATCCACACCATGGATTATGTAGCTACAAAAATTAACAAAATTACACTAACTTGAATAACACGATGAGTAGCAGTGATTAGATAACAAGAGTGAGGAATAAAATGAACTCAACTTCACCTCATGGGCCCTTCTAAGCTGTTTAAAACCTAAACACTAAACTTTATTTAAATACTAACAGTTTGCTTCTTATAAACTACTAAAAAGAGCTGGTCGGAATACAATTCAGTTGCACTATAAAAACTGCGAAAATTCAATAAAAAAAAAGAGTGGAATGCAGCCTATCTTCATACCACTTACTCTTAAAGATGAGGAAATTGCCGGTTGAATGAAGTATAAACTTAATTCTGAAGCAAATAAGTAGTATATTTCTGCCAAGCAAGTCTGTTTGTCATGTTAATTGAAGTTGGATATGTTCTCAATTCATGTTACTTGAAATCGTACACACATGGATAAACGTTCATTAGACGAATGAAGAGAAAGGTTCATTATCTGTATACTTCCTAATAAATTTGTAATAAAGCAAGTTTGTTTTAATTTATGTTTCGCTATCTATTGTTAGTAGCTTTATCATACATCTAGAAAAAACTTATACTATATATATGCTTGGATATTGTATATTCCGGTTTAATATAAGCCAGACAAAGTTATTAAAACAACCTTGTGTTGTTGAACATTGATCGGGTAATACAACTAAAAAAATAATGAATATTATTTATCTATTTCTCAAGTTATCAAATACCAGCTTAGTTCAGATATCTATAAAGAAAAAAAAAACAGTTTCTGTTCACATTTCTAAACAAACGCAAGCTTACAGCGTTTTACTGGATCCATTCATATAGAAAGGCTGAAAACTATGTTATATATTCAAATGGATACATCCGTTATTCTCATAATGTTCTAGCGATTTCATCCCACCGAAATTTTGTCACACCACTTTTCGTCTCTTTTCTGTTCCATCTTACTGCAACTACCATTTTTCTTATCTGAACATTCTTGATCTTGACCTTCAAAAGGTAGTGTAAGTTTCATGATGTCAATGTTTCATTTCTGTTAGACTGTCGTTCTCATTTGCTACATAGTCTTTTATAATCTGATGAATAGGCTATCCTTCTAACACACCTTAGAATTTCTCCTCTTTTAAATAAGTTGCATAATCATTCAGAATTTATGTGTTACTCCTTGTTTCCATGACTAATGTTTTGTCAACTTTACAAAAGCATGTGAAATATTTTGGAATAAGTGCGCTTTGACTTTGTTTAAATGAACCTGTGAAATAGAAATCAGGCTTACAAATAATTATTCCGATACATATTTTATTCATGCTTAAGTTTGAATTCACTTTTCTTTATAAATTTCTCCTAGTATGAATCCAGGACACTGACAATGAAACTAACTAACTAAGATCCTAAGATGGTGCGGTCATGGACGCGTACTGTTCAAGGGTCCCATTCTAGAATGGAACAGCTGTCCAGTACGCCAAGGTTTCTCTATGTTTTGTCAACCGATATCAGCTCATGATGAATACCAACCTAAGATCAATGAATAAATCCCCATAAAATCTCCAAATTAAATAAAAAAGCATTGAACCATCAACACACTATGCAATGTTATAATAAATTACATTATCAATTGGGTAGATAAACTTGAAATTCAGAAACAGTGTTGAATCAGTCAGTCAGTAAAACCTACCAACTATTTTCAGATTCTTTTACTAGGTTACAACCTGTCTCCGTTCTATCAGGGATAGTCTTACTTACCATCTAGCTGTCTAAAATTCAACAAGTGAAGTGAATTTCGAATACTCAGTTAGCTACAATAATGAGCACGTGACTGAGTAATAAAATACCAAAAATAGGAAACTGGACAAAAAACAATCGATAACATTACGAAACAAACCTTATCTCCGTTTGGTATATCTAATCCACAATGCCTTTCATCTTTTATGCCTCGATATGATGTAGCAGGAGTTGTTTGACTACACCAATTACGTAGCACATGCTCAACGTCCAATTCTGAAGAGAAATATGCGAATGCATAACCACACGGATAACCAGTTACCGCATTGTGAACAATGTGTACCTTTGGCCAAATTTCTTCATCATCATGTCCATTTGAAGAAAATGGAGAACGACCACGATTACGTCTTTTCGAAGTGTGTTTGCCACTAGGCTTGTTTTTTAACTGTGAATCCAGTAATTTATTCAGTGCTTCTTGCAAGCAAACTTTAGAAGTATAGTAAGGTAGTCTCCCAATGAATAGTATAGCCTTAATTAAAAAAGAGAAGGAAGAAAGATAGAGGATAAAATCAGTTTGGAATAGTAATAACTACTTACTTGAAAATAAAAGAAACCTTACTTATTCATCAAACCACAAATATACAACTTAGTGTGATGGACAACTGATCGATGGATTGTCAGCATGAATATTAAGAGTGAATCTAACTTCTGCTAAAACATACACAGCTTCACAGAAACATCTTGATGTCTTACTAGAGTTAATTCAGTGAGAGTTTATACATTGAGTACGTACTACACGGTGATCATAACCATTCTTCGAAAATAAAAGACACTGAAACAGTATAAATAGTCATAAGTATCACTTTAGTAATCGTTCCAAAATGTGGAACAATGGAATCGACAACGTTAACATTAGATATGGCTTCCTCAGTGAGGAAGGTATGTTAGTCACTGAAATCTTGAATCTGTATAGATTGAGGACAGAATATAGCGTTCTGCATATAACTGATGTCCACTAGGATGTGCAATGCTGGTTCAAGTACTACTTCTAAGATGGTAAAACCAGTGCTCAAACGATACAAACTCATGATAACGCACGTTGTTGGTTTGAACTATACAGTAAAGTTAAGAGTAACCGATTTCAAATGTTAGAATGTTGAGAATAAATTAATGGAGACTCTAAATACAACCACTTTTCGCCTTTTAAACAAGAAAGTTTTTATATTACTTAAATTATCTTTGTTCTGTCAACATTCATGACTAACATCACGTTTACTTTAAGACCCTTCTAATTTCATGTAATATACTGCTGTGAATTATGCAGGAAGTTTGACATTGTTTTATTTATTTACCTGCCAAAATCAGACATTACTAGAAGGCTTTCTGATCAACAGTCAAATCTCATCTTAATTCCAACGACTATAGTTGTCTCTGCGACATAACCTTTGGAAAGAATCTAGCCTACACATTTTCTGTTAGGTTACAAATGTGCTGGGTTTTCAAGTTTTTTATCACCAAACAACCCCAGACTATCAACTTAATGTCACAAGAAGTGTACTCAAAATACCACTTTGTGGATAATACTATATCACTGTACCTATATGAGATAAATGTAATGTGGAATTATACTCTGCCAGAATTCTTAAGTTCTACATTTAAGTTTATTAGGTATAAATGCCAAGTGTATTCTTTTGTAGTTATCACAAAGATGCCTTCATCGTTAATTATACACTAGTAAGATTACTGATTTGTAAGAGGATTTTTTTCCTACCCTACACACTTCAGCGTAGTATGTGTCTATATTACCATTTCTAACAACGAATGCAGGTGAATTATTAAGAAATATCTTTTCTTTAATAACTTCAGTGAATTCAATGGACCGTTTTCAATAACTAATGTCTGATAGGCAAATATAATGTTCCAGCTAGTAACTTTTACTTCATCGTTATTTTTTTCCTTTCAAGACGTAAATTTTTACCCATGAATAGTTTATCAACCAGTGACTCACTGATAAAATATCAAGATTACCTACACAAATGACAGTCCATATTTGGTAATATGAACAAAATTTTGTTTCTCAAGCTCAAGTAATAATGGATAACGCAATTTATTAACCACATCTCGCTTTTAATACTATATATGAACCACGTCTTTTGTTAGACTTACAGCTACATAATGATAAACAGGCTTATTTATAGGCCGAAGGAAAAACCGATTATGCAATCTGAAGGCTGGAAGTCAAGTAATTAGATATCTTAACCAGAACTACACACATAATCAGCGAAAACAAAAAACATATTATTGAGAAAGGATTATATCCATAAAACTAAGTGCTGAGCACTAACGTCCATCAAAAATCATTCAAGAAGAAAGTCACAGACTAACTTATTAACCTTAGGTGTTAGATTATATTGCACATATAAGGTCCAGATGATTTCAAAGCAAAACAAAACCTACATACCGATCACTTCTAAGGCATATTTTATTACAGATGGAAATCTTTATCAATAAAATAACTTTCAACACGACTGCTATGATATTAGTATTTATTCACATTACCATTCATTAGTATGAAATTTAACTATCAATTGGCTCCTGAAGTTTAAATCCACCTAAGGCATTTTTTCTACTTCAATTTTCAAGCACAGGGATGTAGAAGAAATACCCTAGTTGAAACGACGAAAGCATTGGTTTCCATCCCCTATTTAAATAAGTAACACAATCTAATTTTAAAAAACGCCAACAGATTTCAAGGTTTTCTTGTTCTAAGCACCAAGTTGTAGTTAACTGTAACAGACTTGTGGGTACCATATACTTATAAAGCTCCTAATAACAAGCCATTGTTCCGTGATATGTTGAAAAAGTTCTCAACCAAAAGACAAGAAAATTACAAATATCCACACTGGTCAGAGTAAGTGACCGAAGATAAAATCCTCTGACATTCAACTCTTCTCATCGACTGCGCCAACATGTACATAAAATAGGTCGTCTATAAAAAAAACGCCTTATTAAACGTTAGAAGGATTTTAGAATAATCGAAATAGTACGCTAGGAAGAAAAAACAAAAAATGACATGTGGAACAAGGAAATCAAAGAAAATAAGAGAGGAGAACAAAATATAGGAATTTTCTACTGGCAGGTATACTAGATGATAACTAGCGTCTTCAAACATTTTCAATTTATATCTGAAGCAACAAAACTTAGCGGTGTCCACCAAATATGTCAAATGTCACCACTTTTACTCAACTTCGTGGCACATGTCCTGATTCACACAACCGTCAGTGCCACTAATTTCTCAGGAATAAAATGACTTCCCAGAGAGACCTCACTGCTAGTCAGCATCGCCATCGGGTCTGGCAGTACTATGCAGCAATCCCAGTTGCTTCAGCTCATCAAGGAAGAAAGCACCAAAATGAAAGGGAAGAGAGAGTAATCAAGTGACAGGAATCCGTAAAAGAACGCGAAAAACAACAAATCCGATGTGACGACTACGATCGAGATCCTATATGGATGAATCTGCACTACTGGGATCGGTTTCCAGCAATACTACTTAGAGTCCACAGCCACCGCTCTTGACTGTAACGCGGACCTTAAATGGGAAGTCAACATATCCCTACATGGCTCACACCAGCAATCAAAGATTTTAAGGACTGATGCTACACCTTGGTCTCCCCGCCTTTAATCTTTTTCCAGCCTGAACCTACTTCAGTTAACAGTGTGCGATGACGCAGACAGTGACTAGGTATGCGTAACATACGTTCCAATCAAATGAGTCAATAAAATGTCACAACTACAACGTCTGACTTTCCTCTTTCTCCTAAAACTCCACACCTGACTCTTACGTTACTAATGCGGTGGTTGAAAAGAATAAAACCTTCATAAGTACATTTGTGATAAAACTTAATAAGAATGAGGAGACAGAACATCCTGGTGAACACCGCTCGACGTACACAACTCACCTGACTTATCATAGGCTCAAAGACACCAGCATTTGAATGGTCTTCAAGAAGATTGGACATAATCTTGCTAACTTAAGACTGACAAATCGCAACCCTCTGAACGCCTTGAGCGAGAATCTGTTTGGCAACTGCTTCACATGTCAAATTTGAAATCATACTTCGAAACTGGTCTGCACTGACTTCCAATTTAAGGATAGAGTTTGCACATGCTATTTCACTCACTTGGAAAGTTTCATTCGCTCTAATGAATTAGTCACTGAAAGAGGCACAGCTCAGATGCAACAAATCTGTTTACTATTAGCTAACTTATATACCCATATGGTATCAGGAATATATCCAAATGCATGTCGTACTGCACAACAGTTCACAACTTGTCCTTGTGTATGACTGAGGCATGACCATTGGTAGCAAGTCTTCGTAGCATAGCAGACTTATCTACACAATCTTTCGGAATTGAGAACCGGTTTTGCGGAATATCTGAGGATAGCAAAACGGTTCAGTTATCATTCATTCCTTGAGTCTTGCTCTACAACTAGGTGATAACATATTATTTTTGTAATATTTTGAACTTTAAAATTGTTCCGAGAACAGTACAACAAGAATATGTCCACTCCAAAAGAAAATGGTCAATTAGAATGTAGACAATTCAGAAACTCTAAAAGTATGACGATTGCTTAGAAGTATCAACATCAGAAACATGAGTCCCTGAAAGCCAGGAGTACAAAGCAGTCTACCAGGTGGAGGTATAAATGTACTATGCGATACCATTTACCTTTGTGGCTGCTGTTTTACTCATTCGATCGTCCAGTATAGCACATCTTAAAACCAGGGCATTATCTCTATAATCCAATGACCGATTAATACGAACAGCCTTTATGTTAGGTCATTCTTCAATCGTTAAAACCCAACATTTCTACATTAGCAAGACTGTATCACTGATATTTAAGCTTACAGCTGAGTTCTGCTCAATAACCATAGTTTTTTACTGCCTACAGATGAAAGATCTATGCACTTTTTGTTTTCTTTTCACATCAATGACCCCGCAGACCTCTCAACCGAATTCTACTAAAAGCAGCCCACCATTGGCAGTACACACCTCCGTATGCCTTTAACGCGCAAACAAAAATTAGCTCCCGACATGTTAACGAATATCATAAGGTTTTAAAAGATATTAGAAGTAGGGATTCAGACTAATTAGACAATCAGAGTATATACCTTAGGATTCCAATAAAGTGCCTGGCCTTTAGGCTTATATGATGACGACAAAGCGCGATGTATCGCACGATCATGAGGAGTTGTATCCGTTCCATCTATACTACCAACTGTTACTGGATCATAGTATCCATACTGACGAACATATGGATGCCATTCATGTGAGTCATTCCTTGATAATGCTTTTCCGGACATTATGTATCTACCTAAAAATGAATGATGATCAGCTAGTTATTTTACAGAAAATCAGAAAGCCGAATACATTAAATAAATTTATTTTTAACTTCAGATCAATGTTCCACATTTTCTGGGATCAAGCTGAACGAGTATAATAAGAATGAATAAAAAACGAAAGCTCACGAAAGATATGCAACAGGTGAAGAAGTGAAATTCAGTTAGAAATCGAAGTTAGAATGAAAACCTAAAGCAAGCACACTACATAAACCAACAATATAATTTACCAAGAAAACGTATTCTATGATGATCATCTTTGTGTGAAGTTGATATCTATTTACACATGCCGGAAACCTAAAAGGCAAACTTTCGACCACCTAAGTGAAGTCGAACAAAAGAGTACTTTATGGACAATCACATGCTTGCAAATCTTCAAAGTACGTGGTCTCATGAAATCTCAGGGTTGGAATATAATGTAGTGAACAACGGCTGATCTGACCAAGACACGTCGACATCCCAGATGAATTAATGTTGTGGATGTGGAATCGAAGCGCGCTGGTGATGGTGTAGACTTGGTCCGGCATTACCCAGAACAATTCCTTGTGATGGATTTCCAGATAAATGAATTTGATTTTGTCCAGATCCTGTTCCTCCTGCCTGGTTGCCAGTAACACCAACATTTAGATTAGACTGATTCGTACTAACTGCAGAACTATTACTCGATCCATGTTTGGCTGCTGCTGCTGCTACGACAGCAGCAACTGTATTCATGTATGGTGAACTAGAAACTGATGCATAAAACTGTGGTGAAAAGTGCTGCGCATGAGAACTGCTATTTCCATGATTAAAGTTTTGAACCAGAGACGTATTATTAGAATGAGAAGCAGAAGATAATTTCCCGCCAATATTATCCAAAGACATTGCTTGTGACTGAAAGGAACCATAAGTAGGCTGGTTGGAATTAGTTTTGAAACCCACTAAAATAAAAAGTAAAACAATGCAAAAAGTGGTCAATGAGTTCAAATTTCTATGAACAGATTTATGAATTCAACATGCGTGCAACAAATGTAGCATGGTTCAAGAAACAGCATAACAAACCAAAAGGACAATAATTCCACCATAATAATAACAATAACGGAACACATTCATGCACATAAATTTTCATTCCATTATCTGAGAAGTGTTAATTTGCCAGTGAATGACTGTAGCATCTATTACCACTCGAAGACAAATCAGAACTCATTCTGATCTAAACTGGAAAGATATTGAAATAGTCAAGGATGACTGAAATGTAGGTTCTTATTCATGAGTAATAACGCACTGGTTCACATTGCTTTAGAAAATAGCCAAGGAAAGCAATATTTCTTTTTCTACCAAATCCTCATCAATATTATATAATAATAATAATAATAATAATAATAATAATAATAATAATAATAATAATAATAGACATAGTAGTCAAATAGTGGAAAGTTAAATCACGATAGCTACATATTCGACAGTCTATGAAGTAGTGATTGACAAGAGAAAGGATGATTATTTTAGGTGATCAGTTGTTTACTTCAACTACGAAAGAATACTCTGAGGTAAACGGAGAACAAAAATATGTAAAGCGAAACAATAGTAGAAATTACCATTTGTTGATATACTTATAGTTCTCCGTTTTTGTAATGGATCAAATTGTTCGACTTCTGTTGGCATATGGGCTCTCATGCGGATCCCTCGACATTGCCTGAATATTTATTATGATAATTTACTTGCAGGTATATCCGGCTGACGAGTCAAGGACGCGCGTCCTGGATTCCTCTGCTAGCCACAATTAAGTAAACCATACTCTTTACCGCTAAATGACATCAGCTAAAGAACCAATGAAGATAGGAAATACCTTCAAGAATAAAGACTTCATTTTTTGGTGCCACGTTTCGGTCTGTCTCACCTGAGCCCTCTCTTCCAACCTAATCCATCTTCTCCCAGCATTGTATGTTCACGCAGATGGTGTCTTGGCATCCGAAACATGTCCAAGCTGCCTCAGCCAATAAAAGTTAGCAACTTCATCGACTGACTTGCCTAGTACTTTTCAAGCAACCCTTACACTACTCACACGGGGATTGCACCTTAGGTGCAAAAGGCTACGAAGATACCTATGGTCGAACACATGTAGTCTCTTCATATATACTTTCAACTGCCATATCTCCCAGTCGTATGAAAAGAAACGGACTGCAGCGCAGAATGCTTGTTTTGTAGTGGGTGGTCGGATATCTCACCAGTTGGTGCCACAGATGACACAAGTTTACAAATGCCGAATGAGCCTTCTGTATCCGATTTGAGGTTTCGTCAGCAACCAGGCTGTTGGGGTTGATGCAAATCCCCAAGTGAAATAATTGACATATTCCACCACTCCGCTTCCTACATCTAAGCTCGGAGTACTTGCAGTAGACCAGTCCTGGAGCACCATCTTACAATTGACAGGTGCGAAATCCATGCCAAACATATCAAGACTTCTGCCTAACGCGTTCCGAAGATCGTGCATTTTGTCAGCGTCTCAACCCAGCAGGATAATATCGCTTGCCTGTCTACTTCAAGTCAACCAGATGACCTTTAGCAAGTAGGTCAGTCCGTATGAAGTCAGATGTACCTAGGGTTAATTCCATTAGTACATCTATGACGAAGTTAAGTAGGAACGGTGACAGTGGGCATTCATAGGCGGCCACCACTAGTTGTCACTAGTCCTGATGACAACTGTCCAGAAGTCGTGACATACCTACATGATTTAGGGTAAAGAGCTTAGACTAGCGTTATATACTTGTTCGGAGTTTCCTTCACAGTCAGACACTACCACAACACCTCACGGTTCACCATCATCAATATCAATCTCACAGTTAGCTGACTCAAATACCACCTTCAGGTGAAGAAATATGGCAGCCGCTGTCGGGTGCCGGTAGGTATGCCTGTGTTTCAGACCTTATTATGTGGTAAAAATGTAATCACTGCAGCGTTGTCCTGCTCTTTAACCTGTCTGGTTTTCTCGAATTCGCCGCTCTCGAGTTCAATGAATATGATAAATAAGTGGGAATATTTAATGCACTGGGTGGAGGATGTTTCTGTTAATTACCGATTTTATTTTGTGACAGAAACAGGTTTTGTTGTTTACCGAAGATACAATACGATAAAAGGAATCTAAGTTTACAAAGCATAGCGAAGGGATCATTGAAAAAACAACAAACCTTGTTTAGACGGATCACCATATTTTACATCTAACAAATCTTCATAGTTTCCGACTCCACTGCCTAACTGTTTAAGGTTATTGTAAGGCTGCGCTTGGTTTGATGGTGGTTGGTGTTGAGTAATCGGTGATGAACACTGACCAGGATTTTGAGTTTGAGAACTGTCTGAATTAGGTTGTTGCTGGTTCAAAAATGGATTCGGATAACCGTTCTGAATTTCAAAAAAATAATGGTATTCAATCATTAATTTAATTACTCGGCAAAACATTACGTTCACAATGTGAACTGTTGTTCTACAGGTTCCATGGAATTCCCTATAATAGAGGTTTGCATTTACTGGTCAATATACTGCAACACAGTTCAATTACAAAAGTATTTATCAAAAAAGATAAATTATATCACCAGAAAACAATAAAAATAATCTTCAACAATAGTTGATTTTTAGTCACGTGGTCGTGAGTTTTCAAGAGTATTCAACCTCTTCCCAAACAAAAAATGTACACTCAAGTTGAAGGCTGCTCAACTGGTGCAACGTAAAATCCAACCACCTCAGTTAATGTGGACTCAAAACTTCAATGTGAAAAAGTTTTCTACTAGACACAACTGAAAACCTGCGACAAGTATTTCGCTTCAGTTTTTAAACAAGCACGGGAAAGTGAAGTTAAGAGGACGGTTATTTAAAGTAGAAACGTGCAAAGAAAAGTAAGATCCCTATTTCCATTTGCGCAACAACGGATTTTAACCTGCACGCAACCATGAACTAGTCGTACCAGTGAAGGACCTATACCGCGCATATCTGACAGATGTTACTATACCACATGCGATTCTTTAGGTTTACACTCTGTGTACCTGATGACCGCTGGATGTCTGCTATCGCCCTCTAACTAACATGGAAACACCACGTTAAATGAGGACGAAGCTACGGATGCGTGATCACACTTAAGCATCTTAAGAGAACGATCGGAACCATCTTACATGCACCCATACCACGGTACTCGGAGGCTGGATATCAGGTTGTTAAATTGTGGCAGTATACAATTGAAATGTGCTTCAAAGTGTTCTACTAAATTTTATAGCCAACTTTTCCCTGTTTTGCAATAACTCACCCCTTCCTAAGGCGATCTCACTGATCATCGACTATTTCATGTTTGCTTCCATAGTAAGTCTATATAACTACCAGGTATCACCGAATGTTGATACATTCTCCATCTCTTTCGCTACCGCATTCAATCAGTGCTCGTCAATATTACCGAAACTTTCCATCAATTCGCTCTCAAGTTTCTTACGTCCTTCATCGCAATCAGAACAAACAGGGGTGTCTTTCCCAATCAACTAACCAGCACGGTAACTATTGGATAGGGACTGCTACTCGTGTTCACCACCGTTTCCACTGGACACTAACTGCTTTCATAAAAATGTTTAGCTATCTGTATGTTGATGCTGACCTTAAACAATCACATGAAGACCTCACCTTCCCACTTAGCAGGCATGCATTTTACTATTTGTTCCAAAAAGTCAGTTGTAGCCTGAAATGAAAATCGCAGTGGAGTGATATCTCCTGCTACAGGAATATCAAACCACTTCCTGCAACCACTTAAACGTGAACTCGAACTAATGAGTGGTCGAAGTTTAAACGGGTGCTGCAGATACAGCAGCAATCCTCTATGGCTTATAGCAATGTGTCCACCGATGGTTCGATGTCAATGGAAGCCAAATGAGGATGCTGCGTGATGATTGACGATGTGATGAAAACGTGTGTAGTGGAAAGAAGCGAACCAATGGCTTCGGAGTTCTCACCTTATGTTTGAAGCTAATGCTGGCCAGAAACGAGGGATTAGCACAAAACCACAAGAAGCCAACACCATTTCCGATTTCTCGGCATGGAATTCAACAAATGCCCCCCGGCTTTCTAACTCCATTGGCTGCTTCTCTAGTTAAACGTTGAAGCAACCTCTGTAGTCTGCATTATGTTTGAACGCTTTGCTTTATGTGGTAAAAGTATGTTTTTGATAAATTTCATCCGAACACTATTTGGTGGGCAGGTAAACGGAGTCTTCAAGTAGCTACTAAGTGTTACTGTCTATCATACAGATTCACTGGAACGGACAACGCGTAGTCGGATGTCAGATAGTGCCGCGGTAGAGAAGTTGGCTTCCTGCTTAACGGCTTGATGCAATATCTACACTAGCGAGTCTGCAAAAGCTAACCAGTGAAATCCTGGAACCAGAAAAGTGAATTTCGCAGACAACGCCAGCCTCTAAACTGTTGCCAGAAACCTGGGTTTGTAGTCGGATTCGCAAGAAGCGAACTGAACTCTCAGCGACTGCGGCAGCTTGAACACTTGTTTCGCATGCCAAGACACCATCTACCTGGATATACGATAATGAGAAAAAATGGATCAGGTTGGATGAGTAGGCTTAGGTAAGCCAGACCAAAACGTGGCACCAGTAAATGAAGTCTCTGACTGTTCTTAGTCGAGTGAAGTGTGAACTGCCTCGTTGGGATCCTCGAAATGATGGGAATCCATGGCTGAAGACTTAGTATTGTGGCAAAAATCGGTCATAGTGATATACATGTATTCACTCTTTGACGTCTTCCAAAGCTTGAATGTTCTGACCTTAATCCCTAGGCTGTTTATCCTCACGTACACCTTCATATACTTTGACATCAACCACTTTCTATCCATCTGCTGTTCCCATTCTGCTATGAAATGTGGTAACTTGAACAGATGTCCTTCTGTTAGACGTCCTACGTTGCTATACGTGTTTCTCCGCCCAAATAATACATCCATCACTTCTATGTCATCATCATCAATATCAACATAGGACCAGGCATTACTGCGTAACGGTCCGAGTTGCTACAGCTCAGTGCAGTACATCAAGTAGAAAGGTAGTGAGGTGAGGGATGAAGATAAGAGAATGCAGTCAAAAGAAATATAAAGTACGAGGAGAAAGGAAAGAGGAATGACAATGGTGAGATTCGGTATAGCGTCGTTAAGATGAGGGTAATAAGTGCATACATCTGCACCACTGACATCGCTTCTGAGCCATATCCCCTAGAGTCCCCAACCACTGGTTCCTCTTGTCCCGCGGACCCCAACCACATAGTCTGCATCGCCCCACATGGCTCAAACCAACAGTCAGAGACTTCATACATTGGTGCCATGTTTTAGTCTGGCAACCTCGGGCCTTTTGCCAGCCTGGACCTACTTCGGCCAACATTGTGTGACGAGGTAGATGGAGACTAGGCATACGTAACACGTGTCCCAACCATCTCAGTCGATGAAGGTTCATAACCTCGTTAACTGATTTACCTCTTCTCCCTAAAATCTTATGCCTGACTTCTGAATTACTCACGTGGTGACACCACGGAATACGGCCTATACTACGAAGGCAACGGTGGTCAAACATTTGAAGCCTTCTCATATCTTCCCACTGAAAGTGTTCAGAAGACTCTGCATCTTGTCAGCGTCTTCACTTAACAGGACTATGTTATGTCATCTGCATATTCTAGGTCTAACGAAAATTCTCCTGTGATTAGGTCAACGTATGTGTAACCTGGTGATGAGAGGGAGACCTCCATAAGAATATCTATGATGAAATTGAATAAGAATGGAGACAGTGGGCATCCTTGATGGACACCACTGGATGAGTATAGCTCCCTGGACAACTCACCATAGGCTCTAACATGCCCACAAGTGTTCGAGTAGAGAGCCTTCAATAAGGTGATGTACTTACTCGGCACGCCTTTCAGTGAGAGACATTGCCATACGACTTCTGGATCAACGGAGTCAAATGCTGCCGCCTTCAAGTCGAGAAATACAGCTATTGTTGGGCGTCTGTAAGCGTGCATATGTTCCGGGACCTGGCGAAGTGTGAGTATTTGGTCGATGCACCTGCGGCCGGGTCTACAGCCTGCTTAGTTTTCTCGGGCTTGCTGTTCCCGAGCTCCACTCAGGCGTCGAAGAATTATAGGACCTAGGATCTTAGACACTATGTTCGTGAGGCTGATTCCTCTGTGGTTATCACGAGAGGACTTCTCACCTTTCTTGAAGACTGGGATAATCAGTGACTTAGAGCAGTCGGAGGGGATCGTATTTGATTCCTATATACTAGCTAACACCTCCGTTAACCTGACTGAAAGCACCGCACCAGCATTCTTGTATACCTCAGTAGGTAGTCCGTCTGGTCCTGCCTCCCTTCCTCGTTTCGGGTTACCCACCGCTTTCTCAACTTCTTCAAGTGTTTGGGGGACCTATCTCTATGTCGCATTCAGGATCCGACTGGATAGCGGGCAACGCAATGGTGGCTGGAGGCCAGTTGAACTGTTCCTCGAAGTGTTCTGCCCATCGTTCTAGTTGTCTCCCTTGCGAGTGAATCGCAGACCTGTCCTTCTCCGCTATAGCCTCAGTAACTGTTGTTGAACGTTTCCCCCCAGTCTCCTTAATAAGTCCAAATAACTGTCTACTAATACAGATCGCCGTTGCCTTTTCCATCTCTTTAGCCTTCGCTACCCACCACTGTTTGCAGTCGTTGCGTAGACTTTTTCTCAATCTACTTTTAAGTTACGCTTGCTCTTTATTGTACTCATAGCCTGCAGGCAGGGATGCGTTCACGTGCATCCATCAGTTCGGAAGAAGCTGCTGATATCCACTGGCTCTTTTTAGCCAGCCACTCTTTCGGAGTCGGCTACAGTATTCAGTGCTGCTTTTACAGCAGAATTGAGATGGCACCAAGCTTCTTCTGGATGAGTGACAGTCTTTTGTTCCGATAACTGCCTAGCCAACTTCTCACTGAACACGGCTTTGGTGTTTTCGTTGTCCAGCAGCACTCGTAATGGTTTTGTTGCCGAATTCTTTCTACGTCCATTGAAACGCAGACATATACGGACTCGGACCAACGCATGATCGCTGTCCAAATACGTACTCCAGAAGGAGCGGCAGTCCACTGATTCTCTCCAGCGATGTCTACCTTAGAACTGATAGTTACCAGTTCATATGCAATACTTATCTATTTTAGATTGACTGTTGAGAACTGGGAAGTAGTAAATCACTCGCATAGGTACACGGTATTTAGACCAATGAGTAGTAGGTGAAAACTTCATTGGACCCACTGGCCTTTGCACATTCGAGTGACATCATGCGCCTCTTACAAGACGAACGGAACTTACGGCTTGTGCATAAAGTTGTATAAAATTAGAGTTACGTCCATTTTATTATCAGTTCTACCGAGAACCATTTTGAATTTAAGTGTAATAATTGTCTCTCAGCAGATATGGTTTTACCGAAAACTAGCTTTATCGGATTTCGTATTATATCTGCGAATAATCTGGTAAGAATATTATATTTTCACACGGATCAGAAACACTGGATGTAGCAATGCTTGCTTCATAGCACTTGTAGTATGTGATTAGATGTAAATGAGTGACAAGCACAAATTTCATGCCATTAGGCGCGACTGACTTTATAGTTTCCTAGTTAATTGGTCTTTTAAGTAGTCGCACAAACGTGACTTCTGAAACTTGGTTAACACGTGTGTTGATCGTCAATTTTTTGATAATTGATCATAGAGTTCGATGATTCTGTGTGCAAAAAAGGAGCAACAGAAACAGAAATGAGTCAAAAAGTACTATTATTATTGCTTTTATGTCCTATCCTATATGACTATGAAATGGGTATTTCTCAATCAAATGGGATGTAAGCTAAAGAATAGCCCTTTGCCGTTTACTGGATGCAAAGTAACTACAGTCAACCAACCAAACGAGTTCGTGACCCAACTGAAACGTCTCTGACTTGGCCTGAACCACATTAGAAAACATACTTTTTTGGCTAGGGTTTGCATGATAACTAAAGTCGATAGTTAGATTCCGTGCTACAGCCCAGAACCAACCGTAGTGGTGCAGTCATCAACGACTGACTGATAAAATCAACTTAAAACATCGCACACAGGTGCATCAGCTCAAGTTGCTACAATTAACCGTAGTACACAAACAACAGGTGGATAGAAAAAGAATGATATCAAAGTAGATAGTGTGAGAAAATAAACAATCTGAAGATGAAGGTGAGTGTGAATATTTAAGCTTCAGATGTCACAGAGTGAATACATCTACACCATTGTGACCAATTCTCGACCACTGATTTTCGTCTCAGGGACCCCAACCACAGTTTACATCTCACACGACTCAGGCCGACAGTCGGACACTTCATCGACTGGCTACACGTTTTGCTTCCCGCACCATGGACCCTCTTACAACCTAATCTAACTTCCCTACTACCATGGCACTTCGAGGTAGGTAGTGGTTTAGCACAACACATCCCCCCTCACTCGACCAAGGTTCACAACTTTATCGACTGACCTGCCTGTCTTTCATAGTACCCTTCTCTTGACCTCAGCATTGCTCATACGGTGTACACACCAGACGCGAGCAATATTACGAAGACACCTGTGATCAAGACCAACGCATTACATGCCAGAGACATCACATCAAATCTTATCATAACAGCCTGTTCACATGCTTTTCTAGTTTTTTACAACACCATCTCTAAATGCTTGTCCCTAGCTGTGTTGCCTTGCATCAGTGTGTGCTGTGAGACATGGCAACCTGTAGCCTAATGCACCAATACCACGTTTTACGGTGATAATAATTTCACAAACTAAGTTCAACACTAGCTGTTCAACATAAGTGGATCGAAATGGACTGCGGCGGACTGTAAAATGAGAACTGATTAGGCTACTGAATCATAACTCAACTTGAAATCAACAAATGCAAGAATAACTCAATACAGTCACGACAGATTTGTGAGCAAGTGCCCATTTCCATACAATAATGCTAACAAACTTACCATAAGCACGAAACCTGGATAAGGAAAGTATGGGTGCCCAGGAGTCATCATCTGCGGAGTGTGACCCAATGCAGTTGTTAGAATATCAGGACGTAGCCCTGCGTTTGCAGCGGTAACATGACCCATTGGATTTGACAAATTATGATTGATTGGTTTCCCGAGGATGCAGAATCTGCATTTGGGGTTAACATGCTTTGAGCTGTAGTAGCAGCATGATGTTGTAAATGCATATCGTATAACATCCTTTGTTGTTGCAACAGCTGCAAATGATCAAAATCAAAGATTGCTGGTGCCGTACTAGAACCACCCGGTAGATTGAACATATGGTAAGCCGGTGGAGCAAACTGACTAATAAAATGAGGCATACCTGGAGGAGATGGGTCGCCTGAGTGTTCGTATTCATTTGTTGAGTGTGTCCAGGAACATGAGTATTAGCATGTGAAACGGACATTTTGTTGACCTGTGGTGGAATCATGGAGTGATCATTCTGGGAATGGGAAAAGGAGGCAAGTGACTGTGCAGTGTTCTGGACCGGAAACTGATCTTTTGTATTTTGCACAGCAACTTCTCCAACATTAAGCTTGCTCATGCCATCTGGTAGTCCATCAAGCAGGTAGTTTTGATAGACGGTTCCATATAACTAGGTTTATCCCCAGAAGTTCTGGTGACCATCGGGGACGTCGGCTTTTTGTGATTTATAGGATACGATATAGCAACTTTCGACATGATCTGTTCGTCGTAATGCCGTGGTGCGTATTCACTTGTTATACTACATGCTTTCTCCTCAGGTTTAGAAGATTCCAACATAATACCAAGAGATGTATTCTTTAGTTCAAAATCATTAGCATGCGACTGCTGGGAGATCTGAGGGAAAGAATATTGCTTTGGACTGCAATCGACCTGATCATTTGCCACTCGTGTAGATTGAGGGTCCGTAGCTTCTAGAAGTGGCTCGTCTACTTCGTTGCTGATCCGTCCAGAATTCGGAAGTGCGGACACGACAGGACTGAATTTAGAACCTGGAGAGTCACCACCAAAAGTTGGCTTCCAGTGAAAGTGATCGCTGGGTAGAAGCTCTGGTGCAATGAATAAAGGGACACTTAGTTTTCCCGTAAAAGCGCGTGGTGGTGGCTTGCTTCTAGCAGTTGAAACAAACAGAGAATCTGCATCCAAAGCTTCTGGATCTTTAGTTATGTTTTGGACAGTATCAGCATGCACACTGGATTCTTCATCTATATCTCTTAAAACTAAATAAGAACTCATGTGAAAAGAACCTTACTTTTCAGAATTTAGTGAGTCGTCAAAAAGCTCCTGTGGTAGGGATACCGCCTCCTGAAGTCCCATAGCAATAGAAGCATTGGAATTGACTATCTCTATGCATTCGCCTTCCCACTCACCAAGATCGGCATACGGATCCCAAACTAAAAAGAATTTAAACTGACAGATCCACGTACCTTCAGACTCAATCCTATTTTTCCTATCTGATGGCAAGTGCTTAGAGTTATTGCATACATCACCAGCACAGGGTTGTTGCGGAACGCTTATTCGTTCAGTTGAAACTGCATTTGGCCTCGAATAATCCCGTTTTTTGTTACTCTTCCTCTTGAATGTTTCTTGGTTTGAGATCGAACTCTGAACAATTACTAGGCTATCATGGTTACCTTGGCAACATTAATTTGAGGGGACATATGACCATTCTGCTTCGAAGCCTTTTCGTTACTTTCGGCAGGTTTCTCCACTTTAGGTCGACTGGTTTTTTTCTCAAGTGCAGGAGTTTCAAGCGTTGACTCAGTCACCTAAACACATGATCTAGAACGTTAAAACACCTACCACTTGCGAATGCTTAGCTTTCGCACGTTTACTAACAGTTGTATGCCACTCTTCTTCTTCAGCACCACAACGGAATTTATCGAGAACTAGCTCAACCGCTCTTTCAAGGTTATTTTCACAATCATATAAGGCAGTAACTGCCTGATCTTCCGAACATTTTGTTAACTCTTGAAGCTTAAATGTATAAATTACCACTTTATAAGGCCTACCTGAACGACATAACACCGGAGGTTAACATCTGCATCTGGTTTGGATAATATTTTAGCAATAGTTAGTTGCTCTGCTGTTGCAGCTGGCATTTTCGATAGAAAATTAGTGTGTTCATTCCCAACCAATTCATGGCTGGTAACTTTTGGTATATGCTCTTTGCAGTTCATCTTAGTGTTAGTAATGTCTATGTACAATATGTACAATCAAGTCCACCTGAGAACAAAATAAACAATCACCGCTTCTCCGCCGACCTTACAGTGGAAACAAGCACCGTCAAAAACGGATAATATTTTTGAGGACACACTTAAACAAAACACAGTGACTTACTGAAACAATACTTCGCAAGTTTAAACATGACCACTTGGTGGTTTATTCGCCTCTATATACACTTTTTCCTTACTCCCTTTGTCCAATAACAAGAAAAGTTTAATAATAATAAGAAACACTAAATAACATCCAACATCATTAGTTCGAATCGAGGAAACTTGTAGTTTTTGGGCTTTTGTTTCGAAATTACACTTAAGAACCAATTCTCTGTGGAAGTCGCTGAACAAACTGCCACACGACCAACTATCTGTCAAGTATTTTTAAAACTGGAATGTTTCAAAACAGCAGAAGGCAGCTGGATGATATGCCATATCAGTAGCACATGGAAGGAATGGCCGAAAATTTAATCATATCATAGATTCTATATGCTATTCTATGAATGGTTTTGAGGCAAACTAGTATTTACTAGGGGTGGTGTTGAAAGACATCCAGGAACTCCGTATGCAATAACCTGATGCTGAAGACTATTTGTCGGTCTGTTAATATAGGAGAATGGTCCTATAACACAGGCTGCAAAATCTGACCTAAAGCTGCCAGGTTAAAAGACCCAGCGCAGATTCACATATGACAACATCTAGCATGCTATTAGTCAATATCCATCAGTGTAAAAGATGAGATTTTTAGTTTGAGGATAGAAACTTTTTAGTCTGTCTTAATTCTTTTCCAATATGTCTCCGTTCCCGTCCAATCTTTTTTCGAACGAATTAATTGAAGATGCGGACATTACTTTTTCTGGGAGTCGTCTCTGATTTCTGATTTCCAGATACGGGAACCAGTAGCCTACGGAGCTTAACCTCGCTCATGTCCTCTGAGATGTTCCAACCTAGTGGGAACGATATGTATCTAAGCATTCTTTTCATTTCGTTCAATAATCTCTCAAGGTTAGGAAATCTCTTAGACTTTCCACCCTATTGGCAGGGGAGCCTGTAATCATATGAGAGTTGCCTTCTGAGCTCTGCTTTCTTGGGCGATAAGAAATGATAGTTAGCAGATCCTGAATAGGGAAGAGGGGAGATACTATGATCTTGAGGAAAGGTAGGCTGTTGAGTGCATAACTGGAGTGTAAATAACTTGTAAAGTGAAAGGCAGCTTGCTTTTGGTACTTTGTTTGGCATCATGATTTTGTTGAAACCACAAACTGTTATTTAGCCATCTTAGGAACACAACAGTGGCCACAATATATTTGGTGTCGGTCGTAGGGACTTGTTCATCCTCACTGTAGGTCTAAAGATCTCAACTCCACTTAGCTGTCCCTCTGTTAGCAGCAGTTTCCAGTTTAGACCTAACTAAGGACTTGTTTAATATGGTAAGCGCAGCACCGCCTATTTCTGTATACGTTCTGCGTAGTGCTTAAGGTATCATGAAACTCTAGGCTATTATCAAATGACAGTGCTCTCTGGTCTTCATGCCATAAATTACCAAGACTCCTAGGCCACTGTGGGTCAATGCTGAGGGTAATGGTGTCCTACAAATATTTCAGTTGCTGCCATACTCCGAGTGTATGGTCACTCACATTACTATGTTGCTTGGCCCCAGCCACTTCTCTGATCAAGTCTACAGGCCGGTTAGATATCTGAACTGAGCCTTTGTCATCTTTATCATCAACTTCTCGCCATATTTTGACATCAACTTGAGGAAACATGGAGGATTTCATGATATTCGACAGTTAATTTTTGTAGAGGAACGGCATACTACTTAAGACTGTGCCTCGGAGCACTCCACTCACAACCGACTTCCGACAGAAAAGATGAGAATCTATCCTTATCATTTGTCTCCTAAAATAATAATCATATGAATAGTATTAGTATATATTTCATACAACATAGGTTACATGAATGCAAACCAGTTTACAGGTTTGATCACTTTGGTAGTGAGAAATGATCACTGTGTACGACGTTAAGCTATACATTAGATACGGTTATTCATGGTATATAAGAGGTGTGTTGAAGCAGACTCAGTTCGAAACTAGGAAATATTCGGTTATTGTTTGAATCTTTCAATATTCTTGAAGGTGGGGCACGCATTACAGTCATGACCTTGGGGTGCGGGCGTTCGTCATAAGGTTTTGGTGGCAAGGTGCACAAGGAACTCTCCAACCCACACAGGTAAACTGCTAACGATTTCCGGACTTCCTGGCCTCATGCGCAACCTGGGGTGAGTTGGCTTGTTGAACCCTTTACGAAGATCTATGAAAGTGGCATCTGCGGGTATCTTGTCATCCTCAGGCTTAGCCCAACTTTCTCTGCGTATTAAAAGGTTTGTCAAACAATGGAAACCGCTTCAAAAACCATCTTGAGAATGAAGTTACGGAGTTTGCCCCTCAGGTGGATAGTAGCGGCTCTCTTGACTGCTCTTTCTGCGATTATAACTATGATCACAGTCAAGCTTATCGTTCTGTGATTTGATCGGTGCTGCCTAGAAACTTTCTTGTAGAAGGTTGCGAATATGGCGTCCCTCCGATGTTAGGGGAGTGTGCCTTCATTGAAGGACAGCCTAAGTATAATAATCAGTGAGCCTGCCACACAGAATGCGATCTACCTAAGCAGCCTTGCGTACAGATAACCTGATCCTGTTGGCTTTTCCATACGCTAAGTACTCGATATCTTGGCCAAATTATCATGATGGATGTCCTATTGGTTGGCAATGCCTGCGCTGTTGAGAATGTTTCTGAGCAAAGACCTTCGCAAAATAACAAGCAGCAGCTTTGCTTTTTCATCGTCATCTTCAGTCAAGTAGTTTCTGTGTCTGATTAGAGCGTCTACACTACGATGCATCTAATTCCTAAAGTTCACATAATAAAATAACCCTTACGGCCAAAATCCAAGTATTCGGTCTGAATGTTAGAAATATTTCAGTAGAATCAAGTTAACGCGGTCCAGACAAGTTACTGAGCTCTTCTATACAGTTTCTCAAACTTCCTTGTGTCACGTACAGTAACAGATTACACCTCAACAACACCAGAACGCGATCTGACGTCATAAATCTGTGATACTATCAAACGATAACAAACTATATCAAAATTACAAAAACATCCTAATAACGCCGCTAGGCAACCAAACAATACATAGGTTTCTGTGACAAAGAATACGTACTATGCAGCAAAAATTGATTCACCAAGTACAACCGTTCGATACATGAGAATCAACGCGAGTACGTTCGGCAAAATGACATCAAAATTCTTTCCACAAGAATGAAATCAAGCATAAGGCATCTCGAGTGAACAGGCAAATGATTAGTTGTCCTCTATTTTGACTAGGATGCCAAGTTACTAGACGTCATATTCGCTTTCCATGTACCACGTGTAGCTTGGGACATCGGTTCGGCACTAGACGGCTGTCGTGAATCTGATGATGATTGCAGCATGATCACTTTTCCCAAGAGGTGCCGGATGAAGCTTACATCATCCGTGTGCCAGAATACCAAATCTAGAAGTGATGCAGCATGCTGATAATCGTATCTGGCCGCTGTCCCCGGTGCTGTGTACGGGACCGAGGAAACTGATTCTTCCACTAACCTGTGATCAAACGAATTACAAGATGCCTCCGCTACTCATCTATCCTGGTGAACTGATGATGTGTTGAGTTCTCCCACAAAGAGGCATCTGCAGTTATCTGTCCTAAGGGTCAGGTTATTCAGGAGGAAGACATATGCCTCATGTTCAGGGCTTCAGAATGTCATGTGCCTTGCATTTAAGTCAACAGTGCAACGCTTCTCATGCCCCGCTTTCGTATGCAGCTATATCTATGGTTCCGATACTTTAGGGTATTCACGGAGTAAAGGATCACACCGTCATATCTGCATGCTAACATATCGCTTGTAATAAGAACAAATCCTCGTAAACGTGCTTCGTCGTCCCTGATCTCGGAAGAGAAACACGTTTCTGAAGTAGAAATGATGTCAAGGCTTTTCTATGCCTATTGTATTACTCAGCTCAGTCCGCTTGCTTAGGAGGCCACTTGCATCTATGTACAAGACGATAAAACCATTTAAATAAGTTTTCGATTTGCGCAGTGAAGGATAAATCTATACGAATCAACACCCCGGTTCCTTGGAGTTTTGCGATCGATCTTCCAAACAAAGTCCATCTCCTTTGTTAAACTGAACATGACTTTAGGCGACCGAAACCCGTTTTCAGCATTCACTGCCCCTACGCCTACTCTGTATAACTTGAGTGGGACAACAGCCTGTTTATCAAGATTCTTGCCGTACTAGGGCAACCTTCAAATCCGTTACGCTGTTGTAAGTCCGTACTTTTGTCCACTGCGTGTAAGATCGCAGCGTTTTCGTAGAGTTCCGCTTTATCTTCACTCTGTGAAATGTTGACAGTCGCCTCTTCGATTGTCACTGCCCTTCTAGTATGTCGCTTAATCTCAATAACTTGTCACACATCAGAGTCGAGTGACCAGGGCTGATCAAAGTCCAGTACAGTGATTTCGCCAATGGCTACCTCAGAACAGAGCCAAATCTTTTCTCGTGCACTTGCCGCTACTATTCCGGCCACTGGACTGGATGGGCCTGCAGCTCGCACGTTTCCTTGGTTAGCAATGATAGTGCTCTACTCTAATCCCTTTTATCCAAAGCTGACTCAATATTGTGGGTGGCTCTTTCCGGAGTAAGTTTGCGTAAGGCTAGGGATATCCGCTTCACCTTGTTTCTCGCAGCGTTTCTGTCGGTAAATTTTGCAGATAGTTTACGCGCTTGGCTTTCCATCTTCCGTGAGACGATTTTAGGTTTCAGCACGCCTACCTGTGTGTCTACAGGCACTGTCTCATCGTCGCTACCACAATATCAGCCTTCCTTCTGGATGTCAGCTTCCTCAGTTTGGCGTTCGGAAGTGCTTTCACTTCTTCAAGCTATCCACGAATATCTCGGCAGCGCGACAACCAGAGCCAGACACCCCGTATTGCAGGCACGAGACACAAATATCATGGCAT